TCCATGCTCTCACTTCTAAATAGGTACATATATGTGAACCAGGCACAGCAAGTTTCTGCAACGCAAACACAATAGCTAGTTTTACCTTTGCTAGAGCCTCAAAATATGATGTTAGGTATGCATCAGGAACTGCATTCAGGAAAGGAATTTCTCTCCCCTCCCCAAGGTGTCCTCTGAAGTTGTTCCATTAAAAACTGTCACCCGTGCTGCAGTGCAAGTATATTCAGAGCTAAGAACCCCTGGTCTATAGCAGCAGATGGATCCGAGTGGAAGAGGGGCTCAGAATACTGCAGTGGATCAAAGAAAGGATGAGATACTGTAAAACAGGCAACAGAAGATATACAGGGTAGTGCTCAGATATGCCTGTAACCAACTGTTTTCTTCCTCCTCTTCTCAGAGGAAAACTTCACCTTCTACATTTGTACGAGTGGATTTTAAAGCTGCAAGACTGGTGTAATATCTCAGTGGTTTTGGCACTTACCTCGTATCCCCTTTCACAGGGGTGACAGACTGTTGGATTTCGACTACACACACAAATTACTGAATAGTTTTGTTTCAAAGCAAATCATCAAGGTTTCTCTTCGGAGCTTAACTGTTTTTATCCATATTTATCAACCTGCTTTCCTATGATACAGAAGATAAAATGATACTATGACATATTTACTCATGACTTTTATGACACGTATAGAAAGAAGGATGACCCCACTACCCAGACAAGCATTTTCATCACTTTGCAATCAACTGCTTTATCATTCTCCAGGTGGTTAATGGAATTTGTCTTCATGTGTCATCTAGTACTATTTTCAGAGTGCAGCCACACACTAACATCAATGATTAACATCTCAAATGCTATCACTTCCACAGCAGTTTTAAGGTAAAAAATCACTTCTCTGAGGACTACATATGTAGTCCATTATTTGACTTCATTGAAAAACAAGTCATTACAAAAATGAATGTGATAATTATGTTTGAGATTCACCCCGCACAGACGTCAGTGAGAAGAGAGAACATGGAGAAACCAGCTGTTAGCTGAGTTTCGAGCTTCATTATTTCTGTTTATCAAATCCCTCCACCTTCAGCCAAGACCTTGAGGTTTTTGTATGTGCTGAGGTGTGACACACTGGTGTGACACACTGGTGTGAACATGAGCTAGTCTTTTACTGCCCCTAATGGCAGAACAGAACACCATGAAAAATGGTAACAATAGAGGAAACCTAGGATTTTTAATCTTTATTTTATTGATTGTTTTGCAAATACATAGAAGGACTTCAACGTTCAGTTTGCAGAGCTTACAGTACAACTACGTTTTCTGTAATATTTCTCTTTTTTTGCTTTTTCAGGG